AGTCAGGGGCCTTAGAGCGTCTACGCTCTGCCCTGTCCTTCATCTGCTCTGCAGTTCTAAATAGCGCCTTGCGCGTTTCGTCCAAGACAGACTTCATGTCTTTTGCCATGTTCCCAGCAGCCTCGTTTTTGCTTTTACCAGGTTCTACACCCATTCTGGGGAGGTACGATCTAGTAACCTCAAATGGTGCTTTTCCTGTAGCCGATGACTGTTTGATATTATAAGAGAACTGGGCTATCTTTAGCCACTTGGCCCAATCCGTCTGTCTGTCATTAATAAATATCCGGAGATATTGCTTCAACTCCTGGTTGAGTCTCTCCGTTTGCCCATCGGTCTGCGGATGGAACGCTGTTGATAATTTAGGTTTGATGCCCAGCATCCGGCATAATTCTTTCGTAAATTCGCTAGCGAATTGCGGTCCTCGATCGGAGATCACCGTTTCTGGTAACCCATGGATGGACCATACAAAATCTTTAAATAGGTCTGCCGTACCGCCGGCGGTGATGGTTTTGTTGGTGGGTATGAATACCACTTCTTTGGAGAAGCGATCTACTACCACCATTACTGAATCGTACCCATTTGACTCGGGCAGATCCATCGTGAAGTCCACCGATATATCCTGCCAGGGACCAGCTGGTATTGGGTTCGGCATAAGTTTACTGGCCAGCGGTTGATGAGAATTCTTGGCCATGGCACATCTCAAACAGAATTTTACGTATTCCTGTACGTCTTTGACCATGCCAGGCCACATGTAGTTTCTGGAGATCAACTCCATTGTTCGTTGCCACCCAGGGTGCCCAGCCGCTGGAGTGTCGTGATGTCTATCTATTGCCTTGATCCTTGCGGACTCGGGCACATAGATTTTGTGTTTAAAATGGAAGAGCCCGTCTTCCCATAAATAGTTATTATTGCCGTCAAGGCGCGCCTTTTCCTCAGGGGAGATGTCTTTCCTGAAAACTTCCAGGAGATCGGAATCTTGCCCAATTCTAACATTGGCAACCCTTGATTGATCTATCAGGGTGACGCCTTTGTTATCATCTTCAATGCCATTGGCATGATCCTCTCTTCTGGATAAAGCATCCGCTTTCCCCATTGAGCTTCCAGGCTTATGAATTAATTTATAATTAAACCTTGACAAGTACACCGCGTAGCGGGCCTGTCTTCGGTTCAGATCTTGGGCCGTCATGAAGTACTCTAGGTCCTTATGATCGGTCCAAATTTTGAATTGGTGTCTAGCACCTTCTAGGTAGTGCCGCCAGTGCTCTAAAGCTCTAATGATGGCCAGCATCTCCTTGTTGTAAATTTGATAGTTGCGCTCTGTAGGCGACAGACTATGCGATAAATAGGCACAAGGCCTCCAAAGATCATCAGGGCATTTGATTGATAAAACAGCCCCAGTGGCGAAGTCAGAAGAGTCGGTTTCTAGCCGGAACTCTTTGTCTAACTCAGGAAATGCCAATATGGGCGCTGTTGTAAATGCCTGTTTAAGCTTATTAAAAGCTTCTTGTTCCTTAGCGCCCCAATGCCAAACAAGGTCCTTTTTGGTGAGATCGTTCAACGGTCTCGTGATTTTCGCGAAGTCTTCAATAAACCTTCAGTAGAAATTACCTAAGCCAAGGAAGGCCCTAACTCCTTTGACGCGAGTAGGTTCTGGCCAATCCAAAATAGCTTGAACTTTCTCAGGGTTCATCCTGATTCCGTTCTGGCCTATGATCATACCGAGGAAGTCTACTTCCTTCACTTTAAAATTACACTTTTCGGGTTTGACGAATAGGTCCCGTTCCTGTAAGCGTTGAAGGACTTCTTGCATGATCTTGTCGTGCTCAGCCTCATCGTCCGACTTCGTAAATATTAATAAATTGTCAATGTAAATGACAACACAGTTTTCCATATCTGCAAAGATCTCGTTCATCATGCTCTGGAAGGTCGCCGGTGAATTGGTCAACCCAAAGAACATAACAAGGGGTTCGAAAGATCCTCAGTGGCACGTGAACGCAGCCTTCCAAGCATCTTCCTCTTTGATTCGTACGTTGTTGTACCCCCATCTGAGATCCATCTTAGTCAGGATCCTGGCGCCAGCCAATTTGTCCACTAGCTGACTAATCAAAGGCAGCGGATACGCATTTTTAACCGTGTGCTCATTCACGTAACGATAGTCCATAATCATGCGCTTCTTACCATCCTTTTTAGGAATGAAGAACACCAGGGACGTCATAGGACTTTTGGAAGGTCTGATGTAACCCTTCCTAAGTTGTTCATCTATGAAGCTAGATACCTCGTCTCTTTCGGGAGCAGAGAGCGGTATCATATGTCCTTTCCTTGGTTTGAAGGTGTCTTTCAAGTCTATAGCATGGTCCCAAGGCTTAGCCTCTGGGAAGCACTCTGATTTGTGTTTAGAAAAGACTTTCCAGAAGTCGTGATGCTCGGGAGGTACCAGCCTCTTAATCTCTTCCTCAGGTTTTACCTCATCATTGTCATCATTGATCTTTTCCAAAGATCTGAGCTCGTAAACGTGACTAGCGTTTAGTTTTTCGAGACGCTCATCGTGACGGACGTGATTAGGTTTACCCAAGTTTACACATTCCTGGGGACAACGTGACAATGTGACAACCCCTGTCTGCCAGTTGATCTCAGGATTATGTTTAAATAGCCAGGTCCAGCCTAAGATTAAATTAATCTTCCCTAGTTGGGTAGCTTCGGCAGTGACTCGTTCTCTGTGTCCTTGGTATTCAACCACAAAGGAACATTTGTGCGTAATACAGCCACCTGCGTTAAGCGTACCGTCAACATTATAGACGGGAATAGATGCTTCTAATTCTATAAGGGGGAGTCCAATTTGCTCCGCCCAGACCTGATCTATGAAGATGCCGTTAGCGCCTGAATCAAGCAATGCGCTCGTTGAGTGTACTTTGCCCCTGGCAAGGTTTTCCACGCCAACATCTAAACAGATCTCCTTTTGGAATAAATACGTGCGCATCAACACACGCCTCGGGATTTTGGGAAAGGGTGGCTCCGAAGAAGAAGAAGAAGAAGAAGAAGAAGGAATCTCGAATGATACATGTTTTTCTATTTTTGTTTTACCAGAATCAAGCACCCTAGTGTTTGTCTTGCCGGGGCCACGCTCCAAGGGAGACGCCGGTGCAGCGGTAGTATCATAAATATTACATTACATTTCTTCATACAAAAACATACTTCTGATATCAAATTTAGAAACTTATTTACAAATTGGGGAGCCATCCCCATCATTCCGTTATTGCTCGTGCAACACCCCGGAGCAGGGGCCACCTTGTTGTGGTTTACTTCATTTTGAGGTGGAGCTAAGGCACCCAAGTGACCTAAGCTCCAAATGCTTTTCCCTGGGCCTTCATCTCGTTGACCTGTTGGTCGTAGAAAAAGGCCCAGATTTTGTCGTAAGAACGACCGGCCAATGAGTTAAGCCGATCGTCCGGTTTTTCAGTTTCTAGTTGGCGCGCCTGGCGCCCTTGGTTATTTTTTTGTTGGGCGGCCTGCGCCCCTTTTCTGCAATCTTGGGACATGTGTCCCTCTTGGCCGCAATTATAGCAGGCCCCTTTAAACCTGCGCATCTGTCCTCCCTGGACCACGCCGATATCCATAGGGGCTCCCTGCCCTGGTTGCAGCCCAAACGGCCTAAACCCGTGAGAGTGATTTTGATTTTGGTTTGATGACCCAGGGCGCCTCTGGGATATGTTGTTTTGTTTGGTGGACCCGCCACCTTGGTGCATGGTGTAGAGCTCTATGGCTCTACCGACTTGTCGTACTTCCTTAGCCGCCAGGGCCAAGTTGTCGCTCCTTGTATCCTGCAGATAGATCTGTTCTGCAATGCAAGGGTTCACATTGCGTTCCAGCAGTTCTACTGCATGTTCATTGCCAAGACCCGCTCTATCTCCTTTGAAGGCGCCAGGGTCAGCGACGACTTCGACTTTCTTGTTGAACTTTTTCTCTACCGAGGGGGTTGCTACAGGGGGGTTTGCCTGTATCTCCGTGAGTTGTGAGGTTAATGCTGCAATCTGCGTGCGCATGGCGTGCAGCAGAGCATTCATATCTTGGGGTTGCGACGACATGTCGACTTGTTCTCTTTGGTAATGTAAAAAAAAGGTAACTGGGGGTCCCCGCTTGCTATCTGCCGATCAACCTCTTCCCAGCTGAGTATCGGATCTCAATCTCCGACTACTCCCAAAGCACTACAAGGCTGTCGCTAGGAGCGCACCTATCTGCTATTTGGGATATTCCTAACCCTAACCAATCTCCTTCACCCTGGAGTCCGGGTGCCCAATGGGACTTTTTGCACTGACGTGCGAGAGAGTAATGAGAGCGAGTCCTAATGTAACAACCAAGAGTGATCTACTCCGGCGCACACAGAACACACTATAGAGAATATGAATATGGGGAGTGGTTACCCCTAAGGCTGCAGTGAGTTAGTTGGTATACAACAGGAGGGCTTGCTGAGGAGTCTCCTGGATCTATTGGGGTATATATACTACTACAGGTTTGTTTGTACATATGTACTATACAGTTTGAAGAAGGCAGTGGCTTGATGATGTCATAGGGCCTAGCCCGTATGGCCAGCTCCACTGCGTGAGAGAGTTAAGTCTAGAAATAAAAGGAAGGCAACGCGGCGCGAGAAAGGGAAATGCCGCGTGGCAATTAAGGTATAAAGTTAAAGCGGAGAATAAAAAGAAAGAAGATGTCCGGAAATTGTGTTATTGTAACAGACATAGTTCCCATGTGTCCATGGTCGTCCAAGAAGTAGATCGTATCCAGTGTCTTTCCCAACAAAGATATTGGCATAGGTTTTGACTTCTCCACAGTATAAAGCCACATTGTTGACTAGACCATCAAGTCTACCAAATCCTCCATTGGCATCTTTGACTACAGGTCAAATACTAGTATCCATGGGAAGGCGAATGAGATTTTCCCAAATAGTGCGGCTGACTATATTGAGAGCAGACCCTGAATCAACAATAGCTGTAATAGTTTTGCCATTAGAGGTAACAGGAACACAAATAAGGTTGGCATGAGTGATGGCAAAAAGTGATTCAGCTGTCAAGCTTTGGGGTTTGTTGTCTAGTCCAAAATTAATGCGCTTGGATTTCATCATTTCTTGGAGATTCTGGGAAACTTCTTTTGATAGACCAATGACATTACCAATAGATAGAGGGATAGGGGTGCTGAGAATTTGATTAATGATGGCTTTGGAGTCAAGATTCTGCGAAAGTGTAGATGAAGTCTTGAGTGGTTTCTTCTGTTTATCGGCAGGGGGATTCTTCTTGGTGGTCTGGGAAGCGTCTTCCATGATTACATCGTCATTAGTGGGATCAAAGAAAGGCTGTGCAATATCAAAGATGTGTGGTTTTGATGGAACAGGGGCTATGGTTGGAGCAACAGGCTTCTCTTCTTCTTTCTTCTTTCCTTTTACAGCTTTGGCCCAATCTGGTTTAGGAGGAATGTAGACACCATCAAAGACTTGCTTGTGCTTCTCCTTAAACACTCTGTCTGGATGATCCACTGCATAGACAGGCTCTTCATCTGAATCAGAATCAGAGTCAGCTACTTCAGCAATGGACATGAAAGAAGTCGTAGTGAGGAGGTTAGACTTGGGGATAGTGCAATGTACAGCAGTTGCTATGGGTTCCTCTCTTGATCGCATGATTCTGGACCCATCAGACATGACAAAGCAACCAGTGTCATCCTTCTTGATGATTCCCTTTGACAGTAAGTCAAGCATATCTGCGCATTCATTAACTCCATGACCAGTTTTTCCGCATCCATAGCAAAGGAAGGGAACACGAGGTGCTGTAGGCAGAGTGGCAGTGGGTGGAGCAATAGGCTGAGTGGGTAAGTTACTGCTTCCTTGAGATGATCGAGATGGTCTGGCTGACTGGTTCATGAAAGTGGGAGGGCGAAGTATAAGTCTAGCATCAGTGTCAAGCTTGATAGCACAATAGTAGAGCAGAGGATAGTTGGGATCTTTGATTGTCATAGAACCCAACTTCTTGATGAGAACTGTTGTTAGAAAACCACACACAAAAACAAACTAACAAACAATCCTCCCAGATTCCACGGAACTTGTTTATGGGCTTTGCCTCCTAGAACAGTGGGTGCTCTGGTTGTTCGTGGGGTGGTATGTATGAAGGTCCTTCAAAGTAAAACCCAGAGAAGTATGGGTGTGGGTTTTGAGGAGGAGGGATAGTTGAATTTATAGAAGATGCAGGCTTAATGACGAGTATAGATGAGCACTACCTTGCTAATTGTAGCACAAAGTAGGTTTGAGAATAACAAAGATGACGAGGTGACGAGGTTCCCAGTGATAGCAGGCTCCTGATGCACAAACTGTAGTGCTCAGAAGGACTCTAATTGAAAGGGATGACAGTGACTTTCAAAAATGACGAGTGACAATGACAGCAGATAGCAGTGGTAGCAGTGGGAAGTATTGTGACCACACTGGATCACAAGTAGCAGAGTAGTGAACTTGAGATTTAGAGAAGAAGTCTGGAATCGAGTTCTTTATTGTTTTTACATGGTAAAATACAGGGGTTTATATAGTGAAAAGAAAGGTAGGCTATGCACAGTATAGCTGCGCAAAAAGAATGAGAAAGAACATGAAGGAAGGAATATACGCTGACAAATCCTGTGTAGTTGCTAAAGGATAAGATCATCAAAATAAGGGAAAGAAAGGGATAGAACAATGAATGCTGTGAGTAATGTCACAGGTTTGTACAGCCATAAAGTAAAGTCCAATAGCAAAAAGAGAGCAAGAAAATCATGATGTCATGGGAGGATGCAGTAAAAAAAAGGGCAAGGCAAAACACTATCAGTATCAACACAGTTCCTTTATTGTCAGTCAGGCATTCTAAAAAAATATGTGTCCATAAAAATGATTCAAAAATCAAAAATAATCGCACTGTAAATGAATGTTCTGCTGAAACAAAAGAAACTGGAGCCACCGGTCCACCACCTAGTCCAAATCCGACAGTTCCATGGCCTTACCAATGGACTGGTTGTGTTGGACCACCTGATCAAACAAGGGAGGGAGAGGAGTAGTTCCAATTTGGAACAAGTGAGTTCCAGGCAGCGTGTGGTAGGTGTAGGTGTAGCGAAGACGATGGACAAATGATAAGTGTACCCAAGTGAATGGGACAGCGATGAACATGGGCGACGCAAGGGGATGAACCTTCTCCAGCTCAAAAACTACCCACCCACGCTCCAACCAGGCAAGACGAGCGACCGATGTTTTGATAGTATATGATGGCAGATCGACGTCATGAAGATGGACCTGTTGCCCTATTTGGACCGGCTGCCGGGGCTTTGCTGATATCAGCAGTGGCACGTGGTAGTCAACGGATTGGCAACGGAAGCGGATAGGAAGTGGTGACATCAGAAATGGTGGGGGTGCAGATAAGATGAGGAGGAGGAGGGTGAAGGTGGTGAAAAAGTGGATTAGAATGGGGATCCAGAAACGACCATCAGGTGAGAATAAAAAGGAGAGGAAGGGGCCCATGGTGGGGCTAGGCAAAGGAAGGGGAGTAAGGGAAACAACAAAAGCGAAGGGCGCAATGCAATGTGTAGCCAGTGGCGACGCGAAAATTTGCCGAAATGCCGAAACACGGAAAGTACCGGGTGGAAAAGCAAAGGTGAGCGTGACTGGATTGCCTAATAGAGGTGGTGCTGATCAGCCGCAAGTTTGAAACAGGCAATATTAATTACTATTCCATGTGGCACTGTGCCTGTGTGGCGCAAAGGCGAGTCTTTTTGAATATTTGCTTCATTATTGACACCTGTCCATGCTACCAATCAATTTTGGTGCATGACACCGGTGACTCTTATGCCTGAGCACCCAATATCATGGATTATTGAATATTTATCCAACTTGATGACCATCTATGCACTAAGGCCAGACTTTAACCCAGCGTCTGTAAAGCTATGTATATGTATGGTACACCTAACATACCACAAATAGTTATCCAGGTTCCCAAGCATTGCACCTTGAGAATAATGCGAGATCTTATAAATATGCCAATCTCCTTCATAGTTTGTCTGAAAGTGGCAGAGTGCACCCATTATTTCAAGCAATATCACATTCCCCATTGTTTTGATAGGCTGTAGGATACTGGCATAGTGATGCAAAATCTGCTATTGCATGCTAAGGCTATGCAGTTTTGGTATCTGTATGCCAATGTTTGTAATGGCCATAATGGAGTAGTAGCAATAACCCCTTCTCATGATGAACAATTCCTGTAATGCTGTTTGCAAATTTTAGTCTAAGAATCTCTTGGCTCCTAGAAAGCTTAGAGCCATGTATTCATATCTTTTTAATTCACTTTTTCAACCTACAGTATGCCTGAAAATATTAACTACTACCTCCAAAACATGGTCTTATCTGGAAGTTAATGCTGGTATAATGATACAAAAATCACACATTAGCTACATATGTATTTATCTACAATTTTATGTAAGGGTCCTCATACATACAATAATGACAAATTATGCATGGTTGCCCATCTCAGGATGTTCAGTACCAAGGACCATCTCTTCACTAGCCAGGACTCTCCAATATAATGCCTCAGCCTCATTATATTTTCCTTGCCTGTCATACACTAATGCCAAGTTACCCATAGTTGCCAATGTGTCAGGATGTTCAGCACCAAGAACCATCTCTCTACTAGCCAGGACTCTCCCATATAATGCCTCAGCCTTATCATATTTTCCTTGCCATTGATACACCGATGCCAAATTATTCACAGTTATCAATGTGGATGGATGTTCAGCACCAAGGACCATCTCTTTACTAGTCAGGACTCTCCCATATAATGCCTCAGCCTCATTATATTTTCCTTGCCTGCCATACACTAATGCCAAGTTACCCATGGTTGTCAATGTGTAAGGATGTTCAGCACCAAGGACCATCTCTTCACTAGCCATGACTCTCCCATATAGTGCCTCAGCCTCATTATATTTTCCTTGACTGCAATACACTGATGCCAAATTATTCATGGTTGTCAATGTGTCAGGATGTTCAGCACCAAGGACCATCTCTTCACTAGGCAGGACTCTCCCATATAATTCCTCAGCCTCATTATATTTTCCTTGCCTGTGATACACTGATGCCAAATTAGTCATGGTTGTCAATGTGTCAGGATTTTCAGCACCAAGGACCATCTCTCTACTAGCCATGACTCTCCCATATAATGCCTCAGCCTCATTATATTTTCCTTGGTTGAGATACACTAATGCCAAATTATGCATGGTTGCCAATGTGTATAGATGTTCAGCACCAAGGACCATCTCTCTACTAGCCAGGACTCTCTCATATAAAGCCTCAGCCTCATTATATTTTCCTTGCATGTTATACACTAATGCTATATCATGCATAGTTGTTAATGTGTATGGATGTTCAGCACCAAGAACCATCTCTCTACTAGCCAGGACTTTCCCATATAATGCCTCAGCCTCATCATATTTTCCTTGCCATTGATACACCGATGCCAAATTATTCACAGTTATCAATGTGGATGGATGTTCAGCACCAAGGACCATCTCTTTACTAGTCAGGACTCTCCCATATAATGCCTCAGCCTCATTATATTTTCCTTGCCCATGATACACTGATGCTATTTTATCCATAGTTGCTAATGTGGATGGATGTGCAGCACCAAGAACCATCTCTCTACTAGCCAGGACTCTCCCATATAATGCCTCAGCCTCGTTATATTTTCCTTGACTGAGATATACTGATGCCAAACTATCCATGGTTGTCAATGTGGATGGATGATTATGTCCGAGCCGAATCTCTTGAATTCTCATCATCTGGTCAAACATTGCCATTGCTTCATTAAACCTGCCCTTGCTTGACATGTAACTAGCCATGCCTGTTGCTGCACGTACTAATGTCATGTTTCTCTCTTGCAGTCCGTTGTCTAAGAGCACCAGTGAACGTACATGTGATGCAATCCTATCCCATTCAGACCAACACAAAGGTGACCAATCATCCTTGATATCATTCCTAACATAGCCAATAAACTTGACGGCGCAATCAAATAACTCGGCCCAGTTGTCGTTTTTTTTCGTCATTTCTCTAGTCATGAAACTGACTAAATCATGAATACGCAACACAGCACCATCTGAGCCATGGCGGTCAACCAGCGACATGCTCCGTAGCAGCTTAACAGCCTTCCACAACTCGGTAGGAGTACTCATCACCGAGATAAGTGAGCTCGTAATCGAGCTTTTGGGAGGGGTCAAGGTATCTGTAGTATTTGACCCGCTACCGCTGGGTACAATCCTTTGTTTCCCTTTCACATGAAGTTTCTTCAACAGCTTGTTCACCAAACGCAACTTCGTTTGCGCAGGTCTGTTACCTAAGCCTGTAGACGATACAGCGATCACTGGCTGTGATTCGGAAGTAAGCAGCTTTTGAGCTCCATCAGAAATGATCTTTAGCTCGATACTCTCTGGGTCAAAAAACGACAATAGCTTGAGAAAATGACCAGCCACAGGATCACTGTCGTTCAGGCGGTCCCAAAGACTACTGAACACAGCAGAGACAGACTTCTGCTCATAAACACTAAGGTCGTTTTCCCATTCGACGACCTGCCCAGACACACATATAAGTAAACAAGACATCTAGACATTAAACACAATACTTGCCGCCAATTTGCTAGCCGGAATTTTTAGCAGCGACAATATCTGTTCTATACTTTGTGGTGAGTTCCTCTTGAATGACGCTGCTTGGACTATGGCCAGAGGCAACTGTCCTAAACTACTCGTCAACTGCTTTGCAGTCTCCATAACAGCAACCGAAGTATCCGCTACGTCCATAGTTGCATCAGCGAGAAACAGCTTGGCTGCGTCTTGTGCATCTAATACACGAAGTGCAATAGTGTGATGCACCTTGCCTGCAGCATTGACCACCAAATTTGCGACGTCCCACGTGCGTGTAGTATACAGAATCCTCCCCTGCGCATTGGTGCGAGGGATATACTCTCGATAAAAATCCAGAGTTTCTTTGGCGACATTATCGAATACCATGAGCCACATAGCGGGACCAGACTGCTCCAGCCAGCGGCGTACAGCTACAAACTTGTCATCCGATTTAATATTGCCTCCATTTGAGTGGCAAACAACACCAAAAAGTTTCTCAAATTCAGCTTGAAGCTTGTCGGTCGTGGTGCTTGACATCCAAAACACGTGTGAGAAACGTTTCTTTACATACTCCGAGTTGCAGTACTGTAAGGCTAACTGAGTTTTCCCCAGTCCAGGCATTCCATGGACGACACATCGAATAGGTACGTCGCCCTTAAGCTCGCTCGCATCGAATAATTTTCTGAGCTGTTCGAGCTCTTTGTCCCGCCCCATAAAATTTGGAGATAAAAGGTCCACAGGAGCGTTGGTGAACCGAGGAACACCCGCTTGATCCTTAGGCAAAGCGCCAGTAGGGTTGTTCATGTTTGTGATAATAGTAGTAGTATTCATGGTCCCACCAATATCGACGAGATTGCTCCCACTGATGATGGGATTTTGAGCCTGGTTGAAGAATCCAGTAGAAGGCCCAGGGTTGTTTTCCTGAATAGACATGTTTCAGAATAGGTAGAGACGTAGATTTAGAGGATTGCTTAGAGTGAGAACGACGATTTGACAGGGAGTCTTTGTGGTGGGAAGAAGAAGAAGAAAGCAGGCAGCTTCATCAAAGGAATTACCCATGCAAGAAGCGCCGAGGCGATGTCCACGCTTGGGCCATGCCCTTGGCTATTTCTAGACTCTGATTGGCAAACATTGAACATACTCAAGTCTCGAGCGCCATTGGCTCTGATCGGTGTGGTCCCTGCGAGTACCATGGTTCGAGAAGATCGATAGCGGTCTTGCGACGTAATGAGGACGAAAAATTGCATAGAACTGCGGATGTTGTAAAGCTCTATTGGACTAGGCCTCTGCCGACACTGTAGGGAATATAGTACTGTACTGTACTTTGATGCGAGGTATACCTTCCGTCATCCGTCTATATACGAGGTCACCGACGCGTCTATAGCCTGCCTGAGTTCCTTCTGCCCCATTCACCATCGAGTTTATCTAGTACACCCTGTACTTCTTTAACCGCACCCTTTCTCTCAAGTCTAGCATCTGTCCAGGAACCGTCTGCGGTGATAGCGTCGAGACGGAGGAGAGACTGGAGGAGGAGTTCTGCGAGGCGGGTGTGTTCGAGAGTGGGAGTCTGGAGAGGAGGGAGTGGTGCGAGGGCGGTGTTTGAAGGAGCTGAACCGTTTTGAGGGGGCCAGACGATGACATCGTTTTGTATAGCGAAGAGAAAAATATCTACGGAAGGGACGAGGGTGTTGCGAACTTTGTCGAGTTCTGAGCGTATCTGTGAGATGGTGCCTTGCTCTGTTTTTGGCTCTGGTTGTTTTTTAGGGATTGCGGAAGGACGGTTGTGAGGTGGGAGGTCAGAGCCACCGATGATGGCGATGGTAGAGTTCTGGCGGATGGAGTATGAGGAGACTAGGGGTGGATAACATGAGGACAGAGGGTGGAGATGAAAGGGATGAACGTACTTGGTGCAGAGTCATCTTTCATGACGGCACCTGCGTGTACGAGCTTGAAAGCATGTTCAGGGAGCTGTGTGTACTCTGCAAGGGAGTGACGGAGGAGTGCGAGCTTTGTATGTGGTGGGGGAAGGGGGACGTGGAGCCTGTACATGTGGGAGGTTAGCGTTGGGCATGAATGAAGGGGGGGACAGACCTCTCCCGTCCCCACTTGACGAGGATGGACATCGAGTGGCTGGGTTTCAGTCGAGTGGCGAGTGATCGGACGAGTGTGACCAGAAGCCGGCTGACGACGATCAGAGGAATCACAGCTGGGACAGGTCAGCACCGTCTCTGGCAGCAGCAGCACGACTTACCTGCGTAGAGAGACACGATGGGCAGATCTTCAGAGTGACGGTGGTGACAGGGAGTGAACGGGTGACGTGGTGACAGAGGGACGTCGTGACCAGCGTGATGGTGACCGAGGAGAGAGACCCCAGACAGTATCCGCTCCACTCATGGGCATCTACATATATGGTAATCACCTCTTTGTACTACCCACCCACCCACTCTCTCCAATCGACTGTTAGAATGCAACCTCATCCAAACAATGTCCCCCCCTCCCGTCCTCCTCCTCCCAGATCATCTCATCCACAACCTCTCCATCCATCGCCACAACAGTCGTCCTCGTCGCCAGCAACGACGACCAGGACCGCCGGTTTCCGCGCAAATGGATCAGGTGCTACTCCCATCCCTCCATCTCTCCTGGCTAAAATGGCTGCCGTATGTCTCTCTCTCCCTTTCCCTCCTCTCCTCTCAACATCTACTATAGATGGCCAATCGCGGCTCTCCTTCCTCTGTCGACTCCGCAGCACAGGCCCTCCAACGCACTTCCCTAGACTCAGATCACCCTCTCCTCCGCCAGCCAAATTCCTTCCCTCTCCGCACACAACCACAACCACCTCCTCCCCGATCTCCCTTCCCTGGACGTCGCAACAAAGTTGGTCTCAAATTATCCGACATCAATCCTCCCGCAGGTGGCGCTGCAAACGCTGGCCTCGGCGCTGGACGACCGAACCTAGATCCCGACACCCCAAGAAGAGGCAACACCTTCTCCACCCCCTTTGCCAACTTTGGTAAAATCGTGTACGTGTACCTTTCTTTTGTACTCCCCGCTTTTCATATCCATCGCAACGTCACTCTCATCCTCGTGATTTTCATATCCATCATCCTAATCACACCCCTGTAGTGACCCCTCTGGGAGACTTAACTTTAGCGGAAAAGCCGTCCTACACGCATCGGGTGTCGACTTCTCAAATGGCTCTTCTGTTGCTATCAACATGGGCGAACTCCAGCTCGATGAAGAACTTGGAAGAGGAAATTACGGCACCGTAAGAAAGGTCCTACATAAACCCACTAAAGTAGCAATGGCGATGAAAGTACGTCTCTCCTCCCTCCTCACTTCCTATCCATAACTTATACGCCCCTACCTAACCTAGGAGATCCGCCTCGAACTCGACTCCTCTAAACTAAATTCAATTCTCATGGAGCTCGACATCCTCCACCGCGCTCGCTCCCCCACAATCGTCGACTTCTACGGCGCCTTCTTCCTTGAATCTTGTGTCTACTACTGCATGGAATACATGGATGCTGGCTCCCTCGATCGCCTCCAACCTGGGGGCATCACAGAACATGTCCTCGCCCGTATCGCCTCCCGCATGGTCAAAGGCCTCAAATGGCTTAAAGACGAAATGCAAATTATTCACCGCGACGTAAAACCTACGAATGTCCTGGTCAATCGCAAAGGAGAAGTCAAGCTATGTGATTTTGGTGTATCCGGCCAGCTTGAGAAGAGTCTCGCGAAGACGAATATAGGGTGCCAGTCGTATATGGCGCCGGAGAGGATCAAGGGCTCGTCCGCGTCTTTGCCTGAGCCGACGTTGCATGGCGACGCAGTGGTGGGAGGGATGGACGAGGGTTCGTATTCGGTAGCGTCGGACGTGTGGTCACTTGGTCTCTCAGTCGTGGAAGTTGCAAAGGGGAAGTATCCATACCCCCCTGAAACATACGAAAATGTTTTCGCGCAGCTGAGTGCGATTGTGGATGGCGTGCCACCCGGGCTGCCGGAGGACGAGGACGAGCCTCCGGCTACATCTAGCTTTGAACCAAATGGTGACGGAGATAATACGATGACGATCTCTACATCAAAAGGGAAAGAGCGACGGGACCTTGCAGAGGACGCGGCTGAAGAAACTGGTGATGTATGGCGGCGCCCAAGGCGGTGGACACCCGATGCGAGGAATTGGGTGGCTAGATGTCTCGTAAAGCGAGCAGAGGAGCGAGCCACCTATGCAGAGTTGCTGGCACACCCGTGGCTTGTGGCGGATGCGAAGAGGGAAGTGGATATGGTAGGGTGGGTTGTGCATGCGCTGGAATGGAAGGATAAGCATGGAACGAAGAAGGTTGGGGGAGAATGATAGGCTCCCTTGCCGACTTAATTATTGATATGACAGTTGATACCTATATACAGCATGGCCCTTCGGGCAACCCTGGTCCCTGGGCAGGCAGCGTTGGCTATTCCCATGTTCCTTACTTCAGCACGATAGCTAGGATACAGACCTTCCATGTACATGGGAGCAGTATAAAGACGACAAGAGGGAGCGTCACTCTAAATTATTGTTGTTAATGCTACCGGGGGGATGAAATTTGATTGAATGGAGGAGTCAGCTAGCATGGGTGTAAGCTAAGGTTTGGTGAACTCAAATCCATCTACACAATCATATTTTGGGAAATTTTGTTGGCATTCCTGGACCCGTAGGTTCCAGCAGAGCACAAATGTCCGCTATGTTTTCGAAGGACCTTTTAGTTATTACTCATTACCTTCCTTTCCTTTCTTGCACTTTTAGATCATTCTATCTATTGTCACATGGCTACCTTGGTGCTACTCACTCTTGCATCCATACATTGTTGTTTTGTTGTCACTGTAAGGACTGCAAACTGTTAACTGATGGCCTGGTGTGTGATCTGGATACAGGTGGGGTCTGCCCAGAGGGCAATGGTTATGCTTATGAGGCTTATCGAATGTGGCCACATTGGGCTATATATAGTGAAATCTTGCCTAACATGTAATCAATAAAGATCTACAGTTGATGTTACGCTTGAAATGTACAAGCCTGGTAACAAGAGGGGTTTCTGATAAGCCCGTGGGTAACGGGTTTGAGACATATTCTGATGATGAAGGTTTTACTGATGAATACCAAGTTGCACTGTTGAAGCATACAATCGTATTGGAGATGTTTACTACAATACAAGCATCTATTCCTGGTACCGTCAGGTTACCAGGTTTGTACTTCAATTATTCTGCCTTCAAATGATGACGGCCAACCGGCCCTTTTTCTCGCCGTATCTGCGCTCACCCATTTGAAAATTTCATCCATTTTGTCCTCTCTAATCCACAAATCTCCCCACTTTTTGCTGATGATGGGGCAAACTAACTCTACCAGTAATCATAGTTCTCCTATGCAATCTCAGCCTCCTTTACTCTCCACATCTGCTCCATGGTCTTCTTTGTTTGTGGAAGGTAGTTCATCGGAGCAGCGCAACAATTCTTTGCTGCTGAATGATTCATGTCATCCAACTACAATGCAGACGTGCTCTTTTGACTGTGGTACATAATTTTCTTCCTCACATACTTTGCGCTTACCCCTGCTTTGCCCTCCTTCTCATGGTTGTCAATTGTACCTTGGTTGTTTTTGGTTGTTAGCTACTTTGCCACTTGTTGAATGTGATGAGCCTTTTCAGGATGGTAAGCATCATATTGTCTTCAACGCAGTTTTGCTTTCCAGCATGTCTATGTTAATCCTCAGTATGACTTAATACAATTATGGCCTACAGGACCATATGTAATAGTGCAGCTCTCTTCTGTTCCGCAATTGATACTGCATTTCCAACATTTGACAGCTAACCAATTAGCCCATATCACTTGCTTGCATCTAATTAGAGTTCCCAAAAACCCTGTGAAAGCTGTCATTGCCCGTCAATTACTAGATCATTCTTGTACTGCTAGCTGTACACACTTAACACATTTTGTTTTCTCTGAATTGAAACGAGACCGTCGAGATGCAGACTGTAAACGAGTTGACGTTGCTGGCCAAGTCACTGAGCGTACTACCACACGTCGTCAGCTCCATGCCGCGAAGATAGCATGGAAGTTCGCCAGTTTCTGCCCCTGCCAAAGGACAAAATCGAAGAGGCTGTCTGTGCATTATTTGTTGGTGCAGATACACCCGTTAGTGGGGAGAATATTGCCAATCTTCATCCAATTCTTGTGAGCAAAAGATGAGTGTGCACATTGTTAGATTTTCTTGTCCATTGTAATCCGTGGTATAGGTCTGCAGGTGTGCGCATCAGCAAATCTAATTTGAATGATTTGTACGCAGGTGACAAAGACTCTGACTTTCCATTGGCTGTCAACTTGAACTTCCTCGCTGCTGAAGCGAATTCAAATGCTGGTGTTGCTGATTATACGGACTGTGCTGATTTGGAGCTTACAGTGATAGAAGGCTCTCCACCTGAACACATTATAGAAGCAGTGGGGTATACCTCCAGCAACGTCTCTCCTAGTAGTTATTGGCTTATGAAGGCTACTGCGCTCACTTCTTGTTTAGATGGCAAACACTTCCTACAGCTTCGCATAGCTGTAACAACCAAGAGTTAGTTACTCTGGTGCACACAAGAACACACTATAAAGGTAGTGAAGAGGGAGTGGTTACCCCTTAAGCTGCAGAGAGTTTGTTGATATACAACAGGAGGACTCGCTGAGGAGTCTCCTTGATCTATTGGGGTATTTATACTAATACAGAGTGTTTGTACCTATGTACTGTACAGTTGATAAAGGCAGTGGCTGATGATGTGAGAGGGCGCAGCCCATGTGACCAGCTCCACCGCGTGAGAGAGTTTGAGTCTAAAAGAAGAATAAAGGCAGTGCTGCGCGAGAAGGTGGAGTTAGAACGAAAAAGGAAAGTGCTGTATGGCACGAAGTGTGAACTATAGTAAAAGGTTAAAGCGGAGAATGAAAATTAAAGGAAAGGTCCGAAAATTGTGTTATCGTAACAACAGCTAGTCATCCCATGAATGACAATGACCCTGCTATGTTAACCATGTTGTTCCCTCATCTTGACCCTTGGGGTATAGGAGGGTTTCATGAACCAAACCAAAGTGAGGCGCAAAAAATCACCTTCGAGTGACAAGTGAAGAATATGTTGATGCAACATGACGGGCGATTTCAAGCGGACCCTTCCTTTGCCTATGTATGTTTTAACATCTTACAAAAAAAGGAAGTAAATCAGTAGGTTTGTTTTCGAGTCGATCACAGTCAACATGATTCTATTGGAGCTGAGGTAGTGGAACACGCACTAGGCTTTACAGATCTCATATGTTTGTGGCAGAAAAACCCGACCGCGAAGCCGTCCAATTCCTATCAAAAGAGAGCCCTTCTGCTGCTTAATAAACTAAAACTTGTAGCTAAAGACGTAAGAGGTAGCACAGGTTATAAGTTATGTCAAAGAAATGAAATCAGATCCCTCATAAAACGTTTTGGCACACCTGCTTTGTTCTTGATGATTAACCCCTCTGACGTGCATAGTCCGCTTGTTGGTATTCTCGGGAGGATGCTGCCAGAGCATTGGCACACTAAGTCTGCATATGAGCGTTCCCTCTTCGTCGCCAAAAATCCTGCCACTGCCGCGACCTTCTTCTTCTTTCATGCCATGATGTCCAACTTTTTTGGGCTCGTCATTAAACATGGTCAGCAGAAACCAGGACTTTTTGGTCACTCTCAAGCTTACTATGGCATGGTGGAAGCACAAGGCCAGGGAACTTTGCATTGTCACTTGCTGTTGTGGTTGCATGGTAACCCAAATCCTCAACTTCTGCGAGATCGAATGGTTAATGATGAATGCTACAAAGAGAGAATCATTTGTTGGATGGAATCCATTATCCACTGCGAACTACCCAATTCAACAGGCATCGTAATTGATTCTCAAGACCGCCCGCTGAAGAAACCTAGTCTTCCCCCGCATCAACTCGATCCACGCATTGCTGAAGGTCCTTCTTTGGGAGTGGACGACAATGGCTTTTTGGAACAATTTCAGCAGTTTGTTCAAGAGTTGGCTGTGCATTGCAACTGGCATGAGCATACAGACACATGTTGGAAGCATTTACAAAAAGACGAGCCAAGAGATGATCAACATTGTCGTATGAGATTAAATGGTACAACCAGGGCCTTAACAGAAGTTGATCCAGAGACCCAATCCATTCTGCTTTGTAGGTTACATTCACGGATCAATGATTTCAACGACAACATCATCTTTCTTTTAAAATGTAACATGGATATTAAGTATATAGGATCTGGTCAAGCTGCCAAAGCTTTAGTGTACTACATCACGGACTATATCACTAAGAGCAGTTTACCTGTGCACATTGGGTTTGATGCATTGAAACACACCATCCAGCAAAACTCCATGAAGTTCCCGTCCAATTGCCAAGCGTTAACAAACGAGACAAACCAAAGCCTCTTTACAAAGTGTGTTAATGCCATCATGGCACGCCAGGAACTATCTCATCAACAGGTGATGAGCTACTTGATTGGGGGAGGCAACCATTACAAAAGTCACAGCTACAGGCTCTTACAATGGACTCAATTTGACCGTTTTATCCATGCAGAATTAAGCGTCCCAGATGAAGACAGAGCCTCCTCCAACAATTCAGATGTGGAAAGCAGTGTGGATTGTGTGGAAAGTGAAGTGGCAGGAATGGAGCATACCAATACACAGGACGATGTATTGGTATCAGTTGAACCTACTCGTGTGTCTGTTCATAGTGACTTGCAGGATTACCAATGGCGCAGTCGTGAACATCCATTTGACTCCTTGTCTTTGTGGGAATATACAGAGTCTGCACACAAGTTTTATCTTGCCTCAGAAAATGCAAGGTTAGCGAAGGTTCAACCAACAGGGCATGCAGAAGCACCTATTGATGGCATGCCCACTCAACTTCCCACTTGTTGAGGCAAACACGCTCAACCGTGTGGTTGTTTATGTGAAAAACACCCTCAGTATCACACCCACATTCTGCGCATGCGAGAAGAGCCTTACATACCAGTGTTACTTGGATCTTCATTGCCTAGGGGTGATTGCTCAGAAGAGGAGCGTGAATTATGGTGCCGGGCAATGTTGATCTTGTTCAAACCTTGGCGATGAGCGGCTGATATAGAGCAATCTTTCAAATCTTGGAGCCAAGCGTATGAACAATATGACTTCAAAACTGATCATCAACAAATTATCAACAATATGAATGTTGAAAACAAGTGTAAAGACGCACAAGATGAATATGAACACAGTCGTTTGAATGATCCCACCGATTCTGCTTGCCATGAACATACAAGTGGTGGTATGAATGAATTTGGGGAAAGTATGAGTGACAATGAGACGCATGATGTTTTTGATGGCAAATTTGATTGTTTGGCAGCTTTGGAAAGCTCTGTGGTTGAGAGTGAACAAACAGAGAATTTAAATGAAGCTTTACTCGCCGTTGAAAAAGCTGGTTTAATAGACACATTTCCTGTTCCTCCGAAACATACTCCACAATATCCTGCTCCTTCCATAGTATCATCCCATGACTTACTCCAAATTTGGCTCCAGGCCCAACTCATGAAAGATCTGAAGCGTCAAAAGAGACCTGTTAGCATATTGGACAATGCAAATGGTATCAGTGATGCAAACCAACCTCCTGCAAGTAAAAAGCTTCGAACGGAGAGAGAGGCTTTCACACACCTGAACTTGGTTCAACCTACAGCGGAAAGTATGTTGAAACTATGAAAGGCCACAATCAGCTTGGGATTTTGGATAAAACATTAGCTGACATGGGCATCATAGGCAATGAAGAACAAGAATGAGCTGTTCAAATTGTCGGTGAACACTTCGTTCAAAAATCTAACAATCAATTAATGCTCCATATCACCGGAATAGGAGGCTCTGGCAAAAGCGATGTCATTAATAAAATTGTTGAATTCATGAGTAGATGCAATGCTTCAGATAAAATCTTGCTTAGCGCTCCTACCGGTTGTGCAGCTGTGTTGATTGGAGGTTATACTATTCACACTTTGACATTTTTACCTAAATCCCAGCACAAACCAAATCAAGGAGAGCTTGAGGCCATTTGGCGCAATATCAAATACCTTGTTATCGATGAAATATCCATGGTATCCGCTTCTTTGCTCAGTGATATATTGCATCGGTTATGTTCTGCTAAGGCCATGGACCCGGACAAAGCTCATCTACCTTTTGGTGGCATAAACATCATTTTCACTGGTGACTTTGGCCAACTCAAGCCAGTGAAAGACACGGCGCTCTTCAGCCACTCCCTACTCTGTAACATCTCTCCAAACACCGCTTTGACAAATTGTGGGCAATCATCCTTACACGGAGCCTTGTTGTGGCGGCAAGTGAATAAAGTCGTTGAACTCAAGAAGAACTGGCGAGCAAGGAGTGATCCAGCCTTCGTCAACTTGCTTCAATGGATTTGTGCGGGTATCGCGTGGAATGGAGCCTCAGAAATGACCAAAGCCCAGCAAGGATCAGGAGAAAATTACACAGACTCTGATTTCAAGCTTGTAAATTGTAGGTGTTTACACATGCTTTTTACACACAATGCAAGCAAACTAGATGGATTTAAAGATGCACCAATTGTCGGTTTTGTTTGCAAAAAAGTGGTATGTGATGCTATCAACTACAAAAAAGTAGAAAGTTATGCGTCTACGCACGCTGAAGAGTTTGCTCTGTACCATTTGCACAACACAATGAAAAAGCAACCTTTGGAGGAAGATCTCCAGAAATATGCATGGCGCAACTTTTCATCAAGCATCACACAACGACAGCCTTGGTCAACTCCCGCTAGCTCATGGTATGTGAGTCATGATTATGGAAAATATCGCTATATCTTGCAAGGTTGTAAACGGTGCAGAAGGAATTTTGTTGGACATCAAGTACTCCGTAGACAAGAAGAATTGGAGATATGCTGAGTGTGCATACGTCCAAATTGATGGTGCTGATTTGCAAGCACCTGGCATAACAGCTAATGTTATTCCCATTCTACCCGTTCAAGGTTTGTATACAAACCAAAAAAATCTGAAGAGCGTACCAATTGTCCTACTGCTCTCAGAAGTACTACCATCGTACGAACTCAACTACCTATCTTGCCAGCTTACACATTCACCGACTACAAAGTGCAGGGTTGCTCTCTTTGCAAAGTAATCCTTGATTTAGCCGGCTGCAGATCTCTGCAAAGCGCATATGTTATGCTGTCCCGTGCTCAATCTCTTACAGGCATAGCTGTGTTGCGTCGATTTTCACCTAAAAAATTACTCAGCATCTTGGGCAGCAATTTTGTGATGAGTTTAGTCGCTTGCGCAATCTTGACATCAACACAAGAATTGAGTATGAATCCTGAAAATTGCTACATAGTTTTCTTTCTACCTGATCAACACAACCATCCGCTTGCTCCACCTGTCTTTGCATCCATTTTCAACCGAATGACGATAATCCCCTCCTGGTCGCAAATGGTCTCAAAGTCTCATAATTGCCTGTACAGCTGTACCCTCCTAAATACCAGATCATCCCTCCTTCGTGGCACCGTTGCACTGGTGCGAGCAGTAACAATTCAACACCCGCACTCCCATTGTTTATTCTCCAGAACAAACACCCTGCATCAAATGTTGTATGGATTGTATGGATGCATATAGGATCTTGGCGGCAAACGTGAGGTTTCTCGTACTCTTTGTCCTCCCATACACCAGATCTCAAACGTAAATCATATCCTTGCTCAGCATATTTGTGATAGCCATGAATGGTGTTACAATGCGGCGTGACATGTTTAAAGAGCGTGTAATGATTTGCATTGGTAAGACCACGGCGCAAACTGGTGAGCTTTGGATAAGCCAAAAAGAATCCATGGCCTGACATGAAGTTCATCACAGGGGTGGAATGGAATTAAAATATGGGGGCGACACTCATACAGGATGAGGAGATTACCACATTGATGGTTGTATCCCCATTACACACTGTAACCACTTCGGAAATATTGAGGTCGGCGACGTAATCCTCTCTTCCCTCAACATCTTTACTAACAACTAGATAGCCTTCTTGCTCCCTCAACATCTGCAACATTCGGTTTTTTTTGTAAAACGGCACATACAAATCCAGATCATGAGGCTGCTAGCTACTTTTTCCTTCAAAAAAATGCAGGGCTACCAATCCTGACACGACACTTTTGAGTAAGCCAAGGTTTGACAAGAATACACCTGGCTGGCGTACAAAACGCCTCAACAATGCAAATAAGCAACCTTTAATATGGCAGTGGACTACAGCGTAGTTCCGATGGGATGTACTGGCATACAGAATGACGTCTGCGACACTCAAATTGCCTAGCATGACTTGCACCACTTCCACAGGGCACCATTCTACCAGCAGTCCATCACGATGCAAAGGGGGAAGCTCAACAGGACAAAGAAGTACGGTGAGTTCTTCTTTGAGAGATGGCATCACAGGTCTTTTTTTTGCACACCCCTGGCTCCTTCGCAATTTATCACATTTTCCCCAATTCCCTTTTCAGGACCTTGTACCCCTTTTCACTCAAGTTCTGTCTTCCCAACGACAGCATTGCAATTGGAACCCAGATGGCAGACCTTTTTTGGCCTTAAGTACCACTTGCATTGCCTGGGGTGTTGCATTACCAACTTCTTCGCACACAACATGCCTTGGTTCCAATGTACATTGTTTCTCTCATTCAGGCTCTGTTTCCCTTGATGTTTTTCTGTTGCTTAGTGGAAAACAACACTCTTGTTGTTGCAAACTTTCCCCTAAACCTCACTGAAATGCTTGCACCCGATGTTCTCAAAAAACCTTATGGAACACACCTTCTGCCCACCTCTTACAATGACATATGTGAATGGGCCTACGTAGCCAACGATGCCATGTCAACGGATCATAACCATCATCACATCCTACTTTACAAGCAACTCTCCAACGCAGAACATACCGACATCTCCCTGGTGAAGTTAAGAATGCAGGGCATCTTAGTTAATTGCAATTTGGCCGCTTTGGGAGCATGGAATGGGTAAGTTGCCTCCCCTTTCTCCTTCACACAATTACCAATATTTATTGTGTGATACAAAAAGATCCCCATCATTAGCATCATCAGCTTCCCAATCCCTCACTTTGACACCTCGTCCTTTCCATGATCAATGGTTTCCCGTTCTAACCGCCATCCGCTGTTGATGATGAGAACTGCAGTTAGAAAACCACACACAAAACAAACTAACACACAATCCTCCCAGATTCCACGGAACTTGTTTATGGGCTTTGCCTCCTAGAACAGTGGAGTGGTCTGGTTGTTCGTGGGGTGGTACGTATAAAGATCCTTCAAAGTAAAACCCAGTGATGTATGAGTGTGGGTTTTGAGGAGGAGGGATAGTTGAATTTATAGAAGGATAGGGGCTTTGTGACGAGTATAGATGAACACTACCTTGCTAATCGTAGCACAAGGTAGGTTTGAGAACGACAATATGACGAGGTTCCCAGTGATAGCAGGCTCCTGACGCACAAACTGTAGTGCTCAGAAGGACTCTAATCGAAAGGGATGACAATGACTTCAAAAATGGGAAGTGATGATGACAGCAGTTAACAGTGGTAGCAGTGGGAAGTGTTGTGACCACACTGGATCACAAGTAGCAGAGTAGTGAACTTGAGAGTAGAGAAGAAGTCTGGATTGGATTTCTTGTTGTTTTTTTTACAAGGTAAAATACAGGGGTTTATATAGTAAAAGAGAAGTAGGCTATGCACAGTATAGCTGTGCAAAAAGAATGAGAAAGAATATGAAGGAAGGAATGTACGCTGATGAATCCTGCGTAGGTAGTACAGGATAAAATTGTCAAAAAAAAGAAAAGAAAGGTATAGAACAATAAATGCTGTGAGTAATGTCACAGGTTTGTACAGCCATAAAGTAAAGTCCAATAGCAAAAAGAGAGCAGGAAGATCATGATGTCATGGGAAGATGCAGTAAAAAAGGGCAAGGCAAAACACTATCAGTATCAACACAGTTCCTTTATTGTCAGTCAGGCATTCTAAAAAAATATGTGTCCATAAAAATGATTCAAAAATCAAAAATAATCGCACTGTAAATGAATGTTCTGCTGAAAAAAAAGAAACTGGAGCCACCGATCCACCACCTAGTCCAAATCTGACAGTTCCATGGCCTTACCAATGGACTGGTTGTGTTGGACCACCTGATCAAACGAGGGAGGGAGAGGAGTAGTTCCAATTTGGAACAAGTGAGTCCCAGGCAGCGTGTGGTAGGTGTAGCTGTAGCGAAGACGATGGACAAATGATAAGTGTACCCAAGTGAATGGGACAGCAATGAACATGGGCGACGCAAGGGGATGAACCTTCTCCAGCTCAAAAACTACCCACCCACGCTCCAACCAGGCAAGACGAGCGACCGATGTTTTGATAGTATATGATGGCAGATCGACGTCATGAAGATGGACCTGTTGCCCTATTTGGACCGGCCGCTGGGGCTTTGCTGATATCAGCAGTGGCACGTGGTAGTCAACGGATTGGCGACGGAAGCAGATAGGAAGTGGCGACATCAGAAATGGTGGGGGTGCAAAGAAGATGAGGAGGAGGAGGGTGGAGGTGACGAGGAGGTGAACTAAAATGGGGACCCAGAAACGACCGTCGGGTGAGAATAAAAAGGAGAGGAAGGGGCCCATGGTGGGGCTAGGCAAAGGAAGGGGAGTAAGGGAAACAACAAAAGCGAGGGCGCAATGCAATGTGTAGCCAGTGGCGACGCAAAAATTTGCTGAAATGCCGAAATGCGGAAAGTACCGGATGGAAAAGCAAAGGTGAGCGTGACTGGATTGCCTAATAGAGGTGGTGCTGATCAGCCACAAGTTCAAAAAGGGCAATATTAATTACTATTCCATGTGGCACTGTGCCTGTGTGGCACAAAGGCGAGTCTTTTTGAATATTCGCTTCATTATTGACACCTGTCCATGCTACCAATCAACTTTGGTGCATGACAACGGGGAGGACCGGGAGCGGTTTGTTGAGGGCTGCGAGGAAATCTCTCTGGTGTCTGTGGTCCGCGTCTGATACCCACTCTTCGGAGAGCTGTTTGTTACGATCTCTATAGGACATTTAAGGACTACTCATTTCTTTTTACTCATCGGTTATACCATCGGACTGATGACTCATTTCCTTCACGTACACTTCCGTTCCTCTCGCATTCACAGTACCTATTATAGTACTTAGTCCTCAACGGACGGACCTGCCCTAGATAGGATCTAACTCCTATCACCGATTCCTTTCTATTATAAATACCATGTAACAGCAGTAGTCTTCTCTAATATGATTCTACGCAGTTTACGCTTACAAAGCTAGACTCCTAAGATCAGACTTCTATTCAGAAGAAGACCAACTCCCATTGGAAAACCTCCACTCAGAACTATGTTCTCGAACTTGTCTTCGGATAAGTCTCTTTACAAACCTCGACGAACCCTCAGACTTTGTTAAGCACTTTGTGCATAACACCTCTTCTGAACGACAACACCGCCCTCGCATTCAATGCTGTTATGCCTGTCAAGGATATGGCCATTGTGCCATCTATTGTTGTTACCATACTTGTTCCACATGCGGACTAGATGCCCCCGGACACCACGCTAACAAGTGTAACAGACAACAAAATCACCCCTTCACCGCAGATAGTTGGGGATTAGATGATATGCATAACAACTTGGACGAAGACGTGCGGTACAACGTAGACGGAGAGCTAGGAGACTTTGGGGCGGTCTGGGCCTGGGGGGGGTGGTGTTGCGTACTGTATCTCTTATGGACTTTATTTTCTTCTCGGAGTAGCCACATACCGCTACTCATTCTTATTCCCACACTAGTTACCTGTTACGGTTTCTCACCCGTCATCATTTTTTCAACACAAACACCTACCCTAAAGTAGGACAGTATATATAGCATCGCCCTCCGGGCAGTCCTGGTCCCTACAATGCCAGGTTTATGTAATTGCACGTGGAAAACTTCGCACATGTACACTATACCGAATACTGGATGAGAACTCATGGTAAAGGAAGGCGGATAAACTGTAATTTCTGGCATGCGAGGGATTCAGTCAACATTTTATGGTACAAGTTACAGGCTAGCTAAGGAATGTATTTAGAGGACACAGCACTATTTGAAGGTGATTGTTAGATTGAGGGAATTTGAAGTGGCATTGCTTACCAGGCAGCCAGCAAACTTATGAGTGATAAGTTGTGGTAAAAGATGTGTGTCACATGTAAGGGTTGTGAGCAGGAATGTTTAACAAACAGCATTCCTCCGCGCCAGTTAGGGATGTTGTGTGATTTTTGCTTGTGTGTAAGCATAGTATGGGCAATCATTTTGTTGTCTTGTAGTAGAACATCCAAACAGTCTTGATCGATGTAGAAAATTGAGAACCTATTAGCGAGCTGAATGCAAGGAGTATTACTCCCTGGGATGGTGTCAAACAAAACGGAATATAAGATGGGCAAAGTGTTGTGTTTGAAAGATATTGTTGGAGAAAAGTCGATGTTATATGTACTATGGTAGAATGGCAAGCCAACATTGTCATGCATTTCAAGAATCCCTTCAATGTCGTGTTGATCTATAATTTCGTGTTTGGCGGCATCCATAGTGGGAGGGAAGTATAGGTAGGAGTTAAGGCAAGATATGCTGCAGCATGCATTGGGGTCACAAGAAATGGAAGGTAGGTTGACAATCATGGCACTAGCGCCATCACAAGGTAAGTATGCAGCTTTGAACATGATGGGATAGCTGGTCTCGTGTTAGCGAGTTATGAGGAAGAAAAGTTCGAAGGACCTACTTTTTGGTGCAACGCTATAGTGTCAGAAATGTGTTGAGCCACTGCTGTGTCGGCCATTTGGGAAGTGTGTAGACAGAGTCAGATGGTTTCTGTTAGGAAGAAGAGGAGTCACTGTTCGTGGGCAATAGAGGATGGTGTGTTTCCGCTATGGTAGTACCACCAGATTGTGTTCTCGAGTTTGGCGGCTGTGAATGTGCAATATTTTTCCCATTTGCCTGATGACGGTCCATTTTTCATCACAAATAAAGGACCTCTCAACCATATTTTGCTGGTTTCATAAGTGTATAGGAAATTGCTGATAAAATTGATGGGATGGCCATGATTGCGTGCGTGTTTGGGGTTTTCTCCGTATATTTGGTAGTAACTGTCAATGGTCGACTGTCAGCAGTTGTAGAAGATGCCTAGGTCCTGCACATCACAACCCCCATCGCAAATGAGCATTGTGAGGTGTTGGAGTATACTTGGATCAGTGACTGCGATCAGCAGGGGAACAGGATCTATGTTTTGTAGCACATTCTCTCATGTAGTTGTTTGAGATTGTTGTGATGCAATGTTGATGCGGAAACAAGGGTAATGATTGCCATTCGGATTTGATTGAAAGGAGTCGTGCAAGGTCCAGAAACGCTGAAGATGAGTCAGGATGTGTTGTTGTCAGAATACAAGTGACAAGTACTTTGTATCCCAATGCCCAAAGAGGATTCCATTCTTTCAAGATTTTGTGTGCACAATGCAAGCCAATATGTGGATGAACAGCATGAACATTTGTTAGAGCACGGTGGATTTCATTGTCTGTGGGCGACATGCATGCCATTATGGACGTTGAATGGGAAGCAAACAATATAGGCAGTGCACCAGGCATTTGCATTTTTAAAGATAGTTATAGGGGTATTATACATCATTGTAGATGTCATTGTAATGTGTATCAGTATGAATTCAAAAGAGAAAGTGTTTAGGCTGCAGGCTGTCATGAGAATTTTTTTGTTAGGAGATGAAGATGAACACTTGCTTTAGATGTTGAAAGGGTAAGGGCCACTGTGAATGAGAGAAACATCCTGTAACTCCAAAAGAATGTTCCACTTTTCCCAAGCCTTGACAGTTTTGTCTCATTTATAACGTTTGATGAATGCTTCCATCAATACAATGTCACCAAGCTTGAGGCGCCGGGCAGGATATGTGTCCATGTCAGCTTTACTAGTAAAGGTTTGGCAGGCATCATAAACCGACGTAAAAGGAATAGGCTAGCAGACATGTTAGTACAAGAAATATGGGGGTCAGAATGCATTTACGCTTTGCATTTTTCCATCTTCATCAAACAGAGTTTGGTGGCGGGACACAAGGATGTCATTTCAACCATTATTTGTCATGTCTGGCGGGATGTTAGTTGAATAAAACTTGTGGGTGGCGAATTATATATACCTTGGGGGGGTTGATGTAAGTTTCCTACAAGTTGCTGTTACATAGTGAGTGAGTTGATGCCAAAAGGCTCAACAGCTATGTTGATGTGTGCTTTTGGGGCACCTTGAGGGCCGCCACCGAATAACCAGACCTTTGATATTTTTCCTACGATCCAAACGGTATAAGGTTTGTTGGTGGTCTTGTCACAGATGTAGTATGACCAGTTCTTCTTGTGTTTAGTTTGTCCCCAGGTGTCGATAGATGGTAGTTTGTTAATGCTGTATGTCAGAGTGGCAGGGTCTGCAAAATTAGCGAAGCTTTGGATCCGGCTGCAAAATATGTCAGGTAGATACCTGTTGCATGACACAACAACATACAGTCTAATGTCTGTGGTGAAGGATCTCAGAAGAGTCTCGTCGAGAGCGATGGTGGAGCTGTTGTCGGTGGTGTCCGCTTCTATCGGGTGTTCATCTGGGGTTGGGTAAGTGATTGCTGTTATTGTGTTACCGTTTTTCTCTGTATCTGCATATAAGTCTTCAGTGGAATCGTTGCTATAGACATTATAAATCAATTTTTATTGTAAGCGATAGATACAATGTTTACAGCAGCGTTGAGGATTGAGATGATTCCGGTGCAATTTCAGGGGAGTGTTGAGCATGTACCATGTCGACGGATTTGTTCGGTGTCTTAGAAATGCTACATGACGAATGATCAGGCGCATGAAATGTGGATGAATTTGGGCCAGCTGAATTATCAGAGCTAATATTAAGACTTTAGACGATGAACAAGTGACAATAAGAGACTTAAGTGCTTACAATTCCTCTTCATTGGACAGATCTGATAAGGCGTTGCCGTCCATAGCAACAGCTTTGCTCCTTTCGGTTGGGGATTCTTCGGCGGCAGGGATGGCTTTTGGCAGCGTGCGTTTGGTGGCGGGCATGGTGCAAGTGGGGAATTTTCAAGTTTGTTATGGTATGGCCATCGGTGAATGACCAGCATTTGAAGGCAAATTTTGGCACCTTGATTTCTTTGGAGGAGCGATGGCATGACTACGCTGATGAGGGTGAAAGTTTAGGGTGTGATTGGCAGGAGGATGCCAACGTTGAAATCAGTTCTGAGTTCTGATTATAAGGCCTAGGATGAAAAAAGGGAGGTACAATACAAGTATATAATACACTGTTTCATCGCAGGATCACCCCAATTTAGCCAATGTACTAGAACCAGAGGAGGAGGGTGCAATTGCACGCTTGATTCCCAACTGAGTGATTTGGTGTTGAGACAATACATAGTATTAGACAAGTGGAAAATAAACTCACTGTACGCAATTGAGTGACAGGAAGTAGTTGCAGAACATGGTCCAGTTTGAGGTGGGCACGGACAGTACATTGGCCACCACAAATGCAAAACACGCTGATGTCGAGAGAAACCCCGACATTGACTAAATCCCCTGTGCAAAAAATGGTATGGGAATAGGGAATTTTACCACAATTATCTAGCATGCAAGCAATGGGTAATTTTTCTACCACTCGCCACAAATCTTTGATTGCATTGGCTTTTCCTGCAGGATTGTCGCTGGGAAGTAATACCAAGCTTTGGCTGGCGTTTGTAGAAGAGATCTGTATTAGACATCATAAGGGAGGGAATTGGAACAGCTACTGCAAATTTACCTTGGAGAATACGCGATGCTGCATGTATAAGTTGTGCATCCTACTGACCGGAGGTTCTTCAAAGCTGTTTTTGCCAAGACTTATATGGATGAGTTGATGGATGTTGCGGTGTCATGCACCAAAGTTGATTGGTAGCATGGACAGGTGTCAATAATGAAGCGAATATTCAAAAAGACTCGCCTTTGTGCCACACAGGCACAGTGCCACATGGAATAGTAATTAATATTGCCCTTTTTGAACTTGTGGCTGATCAGCACCACCTCTATTAGGCAATCCAGTCACGCTCACCTTTGCTTTTCCATCCGGTACTTTCCGCATTTCGGCATTTCAGCAAATTTTTGCGTCGCCACTGGCTACACATTGCATTGCGCCCTCGCTTTTGTTGTTTCCCTTACTCCCCTTCCTTTGCCTAGCCCCACCATGGGCCCCTTCCTCTCCTTTTTATTCTCACCCGACGGTCGTTTCTGGGTCCCCATTTTAGTTCACCTCCTCGTCACCTCCACCCTCCTCCTCCTCATCTTCTTTGCACCCCCACCATTTCTGATGTCGCCACTTCCTATCTGCTTCCGTCGCCAATCCGTTGACTACCACGTGCCACTGCTGATATCAGCAAAGCCCCAGCGGCCGGTCCAAATAGGGCAACAGGTCCATCTTCATGACGTCGATCTGCCATCATATACTATCAAAACATCGGTCGCTCGTCTTGCCTGGTTGGAGCGTGGGTGGGTAGTTTTTGAGCTGGAGAAGGTTCATCCCCTTGCGTCGCCCATGTTCATTGCTGTCCCATTCACTTGGGTACACTTATCATTTGTCCATCGTCTTCGCTACAGCTACACCTACCACACGCTGCCTGGGACTCACTTGTTCCAAATTGGAACTACTCCTCTCCCTCCCTCGTTTGATCAGGTGGTCCAACACAACCAGTCCATTGGTAAGGCCATGGAACTGTCAGATTTGGACTAGGTGGTGGATCGGTGGCTCCAGTTTCTTTTTTTTCAGCAGAACATTCATTTACAGTGCGATTATTTTTGATTTTTGAATCATTTTTATGGACACATATTTTTTTAGAATGCCTGACTGACAATAAAGGAACTGTGTTGATACTGATAGTGTTTTGCCTTGCCCTTTTTTACTGCATCTTCCCATGACATCATGATCTTCCTGCTCTCTTTTTGCTATTGGACTTTACTTTATGGCTGTACAAACCTGTGACATTACTCACAGCATTTATTGTTCTATACCTTTCTTTTCTTTTTTTTGACAATTTTATCCTGTACTACCTACGCAGGATTCATCAGCGTACATTCCTTCCTTCATATTCTTTCTCATTCTTTTTGCACAGCTATACTGTGCATAGCCTACTTCTCTTTTACTATATAAACCCCTGTATTTTACCTTGTAAAAAAAACAACAAGAAATCCAATCCAGACTTCTTCTCTACTCTCAAGTTCACTACTCTGCTACTTGTGATCCAGTGTGGTCACAACACTTCCCACTGCTACCACTGTTAACTGCTGTCATCATCACTTCCCATTTTTGAAGTCATTGTCATCCCTTTCGATTAGAGTCCTTCTGAGCACTACAGTTTGTGCGTCAGGAGCCTGCTATCACTGGGAACCTCGTCATATTGTCGTTCTCAAACCTACCTTGTGCTACGATTAGCAAGGTAGTGTTCATCTATACTCGTCACAAAGCCCCTATCCTTCTATAAATTCAACTATCCCTCCTCCTCAAAACCCACACTCATACATCACTGGGTTTTACTTTGAAGGATCTTTATACGTACCACCCCACGAACAACCAGACCACTCCACTGTTCTAGGAGGCAAAGCCCATAAACAAGTTCCGTGGAATCTGGGAGGATTGTGTGTTAGTTTGTTTTGTGTGTGGTTTTCTAACTGCAGTTCTCATCATCGACACCGCCACCTTGGTGCATTTGGTAGAGCTCCATGGCTCTACCGACTCGTCGTACTTCCTCAGCCGCCAGGGCCAGGTTCTTGTTTCTTGTATCCTGCAAGTAGATCTGTTCTGCAATGCAAGGGTTCACATTGCGTTCCAGCAGTTCTACTGCATGTTCATTTCCAAGCCCTCCTTGGATGGAGAGGGCCAGGAACCGGGTAATATAATCATCCGTCCTCATGTTTCCTTGTTTGAAGGAGCGGATTTGCTGATGCGCCCAGTCACCCTCAGCTTGCAGCTTGAAATATTTTTCAATCTCTACTTTGAGATCGTCCCAGGTGGGCCACACTCCCGCAGTGTAGCACTCCTGCAATCTAACTTGGGCGTATCGACCCGCCACAGGTCCCTTTAGTTGAGATAGCACCACAGTGGCTACCTCAAAATTGTCGGCAAATGCGTCCCAATTTGCCTTAACCCATATTTGGAGTTTGATCCACCATTTGGCAAATTGCGCTCTGTCTCCCTTGAAGGTGCCAGGGTCAGCGACGACTTCGACTTTCTTATTGAATTTCTTCTCGACCGAGGGGGTTGCCACAGGGGGATTTGCCTGCAGCTCAGCGAGTTGAGTGGTCAATGTCAAGATCTGTGCACGCATGTTGTGCAACAGAGCGTTGACATCCATTTGAGGTTGCAACAATATGTCGACTTGTTTTCTTTGTAAAGTAAAAAAAAGGTAACTGGGGGTCCTGTTACGATAACACAATTTTCGGACCTTTCTGTTACTTTTATTTCTCCGCTTTAAACCTTGCACTTTAGCTTTCACACATGGTGCCACGCGGCACTTCCCCTTTTGTCCAAACTCCTCTTTCTCGCGCCGCGTTGCCTTTCTTCTTATTTTAGACACAACTCTCTCACACAGTGGAGCTGGCCATGCGGGCTAGGCCCCATGACATCATCAGCCACTGTCTCTATCAACTGTATAGTACATATGTACAAATAACCCTGTAGTAGTATATATACCCCAATAGATCCAGGAGACTCCTCAGCGAGTCCTCCTGTTGTATACCAACTAACTCTCTGCATCCTAAGGGGTAACCACTCCCTCTTCATCTTCTTTATAGTGTGTTCCTGTGTGCGCCAGAGTAACTAACTCTTGGTTGTTACAATATGGTGCATAATTGCGAATCCAGTGACAATAAGGTGTCATATGAGAAGTGGCACCTGTGTCTGCATTCCAATCAATGTCGGCATCCAGTTGGAGAGGGCAGTGTGGGTCAGAGGGATGAATAGAGTGGAGGCTTGCATTTCTAGCTGACTCTGCAACCATAGTAGAAAAATGATATTTTGCACCAGGTATGGCAGATTGGTTACAATGATGGCAGTTAGTAGATGAGCAAGAACAATGAGTAGAAGCAGAAGATGAATGAGGAGTACATTTTGTTTTATCCATGGTGTGGAAATGAGGTTCCAAGCAACAAAGGCTTATAGGGAGTGATCCAGATGGAATCAAAACAAACAAAGATGATAGAGAGGGTTATCAGAGACCCAGAAGACAATTTGCAAGAGGGATAAGCAGTAGGGTGCTTGGATGATGAGGTATGAAGTCAGGAAGATGGCTAGAGCACAGGGCTCATAACCTGTTCAATTGAGAACTTCTGGGAAGTGTCTAGCCACTTGCTGAGAGCTAACAGGGACAGAACTAGAGTCCAGTATGAGTAACTACATTATCAGAGAGTACAGAATGTGTACAGTACCTAGAGTCCAGTATGAGTAACTAAAGAATAGGAATACTGGACTCTGCAATACTAGTCCGAAGTTTTGTAAACAAAGGTAAACAAATCAGCCACAAAGGCGAAATTATAGAATGCTCAGTGAATACTGAACAATAGAGCAAAAAGAATAAAGAGGAAAGTGATTTAGAAAGAAGGGAAAATAGATAGCACAACTAGGTGCAGAATCACCAAAACTAACAGGTATATGATGGAAGATCGACGTCATGAAGATGGATCTTTTGCCCAATTTGGACCGGCCGCCGGGGCTTTGCTGATATCAGCAGCGACACATGGTAAATGACAGATTGGCGACAACAGCGGATAGACAGTAGTGACAACATCAGATAGGGAGGAGGCACGAGGAGGACAAGTAGGAGGAGCGTGGAAGTGACAAAAAGGTGGACTAAGATGGGAACCCAGAAACAGCTGTCAGGTGAAAAGAAAAATGAGAGAAAAGGGCCCATGGTGGGGCCAAGTAAGGGAAAGGAATTAAGGGAGACAACAAAAGTGAGGGTGCAATGTGTAGCCAGGTGGCAATACAAAAAATTGCCAAAATGCCAAAATGCGGAAAGTACCAAACGGAAAGCAAAAGTGTGCCTAATAGAGGCAAGTGCTGATCAGCCACAAGTACAAAAAAGGCAACATTACTTACTATTTCATGTGGCACTATGCCTGTGTGGCGCAAAGGTGAGTCTTTTGCATAGGAGTGGTGGTTTGAATATGCTGTCAGAACAGTGACCATTGGAGGTGCTGGAATCTGGAGGATAGAGGTACACTGTGAGAGCAGAAACAGAGTATAAGGTTTGGAGTTGGCTTAGCTCATGCACTAGACCCTTTTATGGACCTTAGTCCTTAACATGACAGAGTGAACAAGGGGAGAATAGGATGAGGAGAGGAGTAAACGCCCTTTAGAGAAAAACCTAGAAGACTTAGATGAAATTAGGTGAAAGGTGAGGAATATTGATATTCAAACTGATAGAATGGAGTACAGGAGTTACAGCTTATATACTATCAGAGGGAGTGGAGTTTGTAAGGAGTAATTTGTAATGTAGATATGGAGTTCTATGCAGACAATTATCTAGTGAGGAGAAATTATATGTGAGAGGAGTGTATTATAAGGTGTAAACTACATAGTCCATGAGGAACGTAAGAATGTATGGAGGAAACATATGGCAGACTGAAAGTCTGGGGTAGGAGGTCAGAGCAGGTATCCAGGATATCATATGAGAGCAAGGCACAGGGCCATGCTGAGCAACAGAGCACAAGGAGCATAATTCCAGGAAATACAACATTTTAGGAGTTTGGACTTGGGGGGTTTTTGGCTATTCAGAATTTTGGGTTCCCTGGCCTGTGGCATGGATATGACACGCAGATCCATATGTTGAGAGAGCTTGAGGACATGGTTTACCATTCAACGACTAGTGTTGGTTACAGTAACAATCTTGCTCAGCTTCATATGGGAGAACATCCTCACCCATTTTTTACTAGTCTTGGGGATCTGTCAATGGTTTTCAACCATGGTGCAATGGCACAAACAATAGAGGGAGTGACAAAACCAGATAAACCCACTCTCTTCTAAAGCAGCCATTGTTCTCCATGGAGTCATTATACCTTAGCAAGTAGCACCTCCAACTATAAGTAGTAGGGGGTTTGGTATAGGAAACCTCAGTTATTTCTATAGTCTTTTGGGCAGCGGCTGAGGTGTGTTATATTACATTTCATAGAGATTACCTTAAACTGACATCTATTGTAGTTTCACTTAGGTTTATTAGGGAGGTGTGGAGTGCTGCAGTTGTTGTTTGGCTTACTAAGTGTCACGATCTCTTTCTCTCACACCTGACACCTCACCTTTTCTCTCAAACTCAGACGTTGAGACTCATATCTCTCCTTATCTTATCACATAGCTTTCCTTTATCTATATCCAAATCCCATCACGTGACATCAAGTCATGTGACTACTTACAAATCATCTTACCAAGCTACACGTTACATTCTCATGTCTATCAGTCAGCGCCTCATGGCTGACATGAGTTCTTACATATATAAGTAGACACTCAATGATGTACATACCTTAGCTTTTGATTTAGTCTTTATACAACCTGTTCAACTACCTGCTTGAGATTGATGTTGGGTCTGCCTGGTTTCTTCCAGTAGTGCAGCTCAGTTGTTATATAATCAAAAGCTAGTAGAGCACCTAGTTGATGACACAAACAAAGGCTATTCTTATCATCACCCTAACACCCATCATCATCATCCTACTCTTCGCTCTACTCAAACTTTACATTCACCTCACCACACAACTTCCTTCAATCACATCTCCCATCACTAGCCCATCTACCATCATCACATTCATCCAATCCTCACCCTCTAACTCATCCTTCGAAACCATTCCCCTATCTCCCATCATCCGCCCCCACAACCCAGTACTTAGAGAGCCCAGTGATGTGGAGTCATTGAGGTTTTATTAGATACAAATTTCTTTACACTTCTTACCAGGCCGCACACTTGTGTCCGCCAGTAGGAAAAGGACTGCACGCGGTTATTGCTGGTCATCACTAAGACAACCGTCTGGACCTCAGTTACTATACAATTAGAACACAGGTACTATAGATAAATAGTTTACGTACACGCTAAGCGGGGACAGAAGAGGAACCCGTTAGCAGAAGGAAGACAGAAAAAGGGATCTTTCATTAAAGACGTGTTGATCCAGACTTGTCATCAGGGGAACCTTCTTGAATGCCCTTTGAATTAACTTCATTCCCGATAAACCGGTCTTCTCCGGAACCAATCATAAAACGAGAACAACTATCCCCTACTCTATCATTCCTATCACCACAACCATCCCTGAACAATGTCCTTCGAAGCATGGAGAGAGACCAACCCCGACATGATAGGGTCAACCGACATGTCAGATTTACGAGACGCATTACCGCATACTCCGCAAGACGCACTATCGCCGGCACACAACCAGCAGCAGCAGATGCACAATCTGCAGAACTTAATAATGATGGCGGTCAACACAGCGATCGCAGAGAACAACGAATTATGGGAAGAAAGATTCTCATCAAAAGACGCAGAAGTACTCGAATTGCGGAGAAGACTCGCAGAGACAGAAAGGAGGCAGCCTTTAGGAATGGGCCTGCCACGCGCACCAGAAGCCGAGTTTAGAAAAACGGCACTGGCAAAACCAGAACCCTACGACGGAGATAAAAAGAAGTTTTGAAGCTTCTCAGAATCTCTAGAACTTCATTTTAGCGCAAATCAGGCATACTTCTCCCGAGAAAAGAATCAGATAAGTTTTGCCTTATCATACATGAGCATAGGAGCAGCAGCGGCCCTGAGGACGGAGTGGGTCAAAAGAAGAAAGTTAGCGGAAGAAAGATCAGACGGAGGAGAAATTACGATCCTAGAGAGCTGGGCTCATTTCGAAAGAACTCTCAAAGATCACTTTGCAGACACACACGAGGAGGAAAGAGCAAAGTACGAAATCATGTACAAAAAATAAGGAACTCTGACGGCCCAAGAGTTCTTTGTAAAATTCGAAGAGTTGAGGAGACGGACCAGTTATGACGTCAAAAGGAACGAACAATTTTTGATTACTCTAATCAGAAACAATGTAAATGGTCCGCTTATCAAACAGATCATTTACAGCGGAAACATTCCCACAACATATGTAGAGTGGAAGACAAGGATCGTCACCAATGATCAATTGTGGCGAGACCAGATGGAGAACGAGAGGATGATGAAAGGATCGACCAGCGGCAGCTCCGGTACAGGGAACCGGGGACCCAATGGAAGATACCAAGAAAGGGGCGCTTTGGAGAAGAAGGCCGAGATGGTGGAAGCAAAGAAAGACGGCACGGGTACGCTGTACACTGGAGCCGGAAAAGAAATGGAGCTAGACAAGCAGA